GCTATGAAAGAGCTAGTTGATGAGTCTGCAAAACACCAACCGGCATAGCAGAACTCTTGTCAGCGAAACGTTGGGCTCTAAAATTTTGAACCCTGTCGATGAAAGCCCTTTAACACAGGTTTCGATTGGACAATGTGCCACTTAACTATAATTCTAAAAATCAGTCAACTTCATTTGTTTTAACAACCACTAATTCTTTCATCGCAAAAGGGTCCTATCTCAGTTGCAAGCAGAAATGGCACTGTAAAGAAAAACCATGACATATATACACGCGTAGCGATATGCATCGTTCTCAGTTCCCAGTGCTGTTTACCAGCAACATTTTTTCTTCATCCGGCTGATGAAAAATGGTAAGACTCACCGCCGATTTACCACCTCGTTATTGGGAGGATACCGATATAAAATTTCAGTTACCGGATGTTTGGAAGTCCTTTCATGAAGTGCACGTGCAGTGGATGGTTAGGGTGGATCAAGAACGATTGACGCATGTGACAGACAACTTTTGATCGTTGTTGTTGCGATTCTATCCATTTTTGATCGACATCAATTCTTCGTATACGGAAAATCATCATCTTTGCTCATCTGAGTTGCTTATAGTCTTACCGAGTAAAGACCCGGGAAGCCAGCAAAAACCACGGGTCCGGCTTAAGTAAGGGATGATACCACATCTGAAGACAAACAGACGGTAAATCGATGGCCTCATGAGTCAAAAGAGATAATACAATTCCCTACATATTTTCAAAAATACCGAAAGAAAGTGATCAAACCAGTTCAACTTATTGTTCAACGGGATTCTCAGGCATGTCACAATGTTACTGGATGGTAAAGGCTTGCCCTCCATGGTGACAGGCTGAGGCAGCGCTTTGGAAACTAGACTGTCGGACTTAATACTCTTCATTGGACAGGTCAGCTGGGATCTTTTCAAGCGGTTTATTATTCGACCATGAATTTTATCCACAGTTCGACTAGGTTTGCTGCGTCTTGAATTTTTAATCAACTGGTTTCACTTTTGATGGCTGAAATTAGAACCATGTCATCTACATATTTGACATGTGATAATGTTGTTTTCTTAGAGTAACATACTGAAGCCAGTTTGAGAAATAGTTCGACAACCCGGGGGGGCACGTATCAGCAACACCGGCTTTCGATAAAAGGCTGAGAAGCGCCCTTCCTGGTACGATGAAAAAGTTGAGGAGAGGTCTAAGAAGACTGCTTTAACAATAATGCCTCTAGAATCAAGCGGTGAAGTGAGTAACTCGGTAAAGCAGGGATACCGTCTAGGATGAAATGGCCATGCATACACGTGAATTGCCGATTTTATTTGAAATCTTGGAGCTGATTCCGAATCAGTGGCCGAATGAGTGTCTCCAGAGCATTGAGAAGAACGGTTGTCAAAGCAATCGGTCGATGGTTTTCAGACTTAGATACTATTTAGTCTAAAATATTGAAGTCATTTTAGTAGTTCGTCAGCAATTAGAATCAGAACGACTCCCTCACGTAGGCAAAGGTTACAGATGCTGCGAAAAGCATAGCTGAAGTCTGCTTTGCAGAAAAGTAAAATCCTAGCCATGATGCCATCAGGCCAGGCAGCACAGTTTGCTGTGATGGGGGAAACAGCGCATCACTTGTGACCTGCAGAAAATAGCAGGAACTTCGGTGTCACGAAACAAGGGGGGCAATGAAACATGGGAGAATTTCTGAGGAAGCGGACTCGAAGCGAAAAATGTTGATATTAAGCACCTACAGGTCTCCAAATAATGGACTGCGAACTGATTTTTAACCACTGTACCGGCGCGATGATGTCCAGAGCTCCACTGTGTTCTTCAGTCGGTGCAGGTACTTGTACTGAAGTATATGGAGGTATATGGGAAGCTATGAAATTTTTGATTATTTATTGTCTGAAGAAGTCTGCATTGGATTAGAACACCGCAACGGTAGGCGGCGAAGGAGCTTATTTGCGAAGGTGGTCAAGAATTTTCGGCTAAAAAGCAGTTCTGTCAAAAGGCAGCAAGATTCAATTACTAATCTGATATAGGTGTTTATCGTCTCTACCCGTTCACTCAGAGAAGCGCCCTCAAAGATCTAGTAATCAACAGAGGCAAACGCGCTCACAATATCTGTCGAGTTTCAGACAGGCGGAACTAACGCCAACTAAAGAAGAGAGTTTTCGGGGTGGAATGGTGATGTATCAGTTTGCTGCAAGTCTTCAGAATAAAGCTGATGACGCAAGGGTCGCAGCTTGCCAGAAGCGTGCACTGTTGGACTCCGATCGCAGGAGGTAGGTTCGTAAACACAACGTCGAACTGACCTGCGAAGTTGGTTTGGATATCAATGATGTTAAACAGGTTCAGTGATATTATTAACCCAGTAGTATGCTTATTGAAATGGTCAGCTATCAGGGAACAAGGAGTTGTCGAAATGTTCGGCAACGTTAACGGTCAATAGACGAATGCAGGTCACTGTAGGGCGCATGCCGGGGGAGATTTAAATATTTCCTACTAACAAGATCGAGTATCCGGACAAGAATAGAATAACATGCTACGAAAATGCATGGTACACTGTCAAAGGAATATGCAAGCATTACTGAGGAGCAGAAGTACCAGTCTCAACGAATCCATGTTGCAATGAAAAAATATAGGTTGGTCAATGTTGCAATGTTGGTCTCCTTTCATTTTCATTTTGGCGCACTTCTTTTCATGAAATTGACAACGCGGGGCTAATCTCCGTTTTTATTACATCAACCAGGAGCGCCTTATTACGTTTTTAAGTGCAAAGTCCACAGCCCTGTGACAAGCGTAGCAGGTAGTCTCTTGTTTCACTCCCACAGAATGGTCATTTATCAACCTCGGAAGGAAGAAACACGACTGACCCCGACCGGGAGTTAAACTCAGGATGAGTAGGTTCTGAGTTTGACGCCATCCCGACTGAGGTCGTAAGCAATTGGTGGAAAATAACTTTTTAAACGAAATTCATGAATACGACAAAAATTGCCCTTGAGCAGAATTGAACACCTCGAACACACACCTTGAACTTCGAATCCCCGAAGATGCAACGCAACTTCCGCAAATCTTCATATTCAAAAACCGATCAGTTTTAAAATCCAAATGGATTTAGATCCAAAACATGGAAACAGTAGTGGTTCAGACATCGCCATCTCCCAATTTACTTATTTTATGTCCGTCACCCACTAGAGAAAATCACTTGTACGATCAGGGAAATAAATTCTAATGCGAACCGTTCATCACGTCTTCCATGTCTCCGGAACGATACTTAACATCTCTATGATCAAAGAAATCAGGTTCATTAAACAACTTCGAAACAGGTTAAACTGCTGCAGAACTCGAGCTTCAGCAATAAATATGTGGCAGCCGACACGCCAATCGTCAGATGTTTTGGCAGGGTACGAAACTGAAATTATAAGCTCGGACAGTACGAACACGACAAAATAGCAAGTATTCAGTACTAATGCACAGATAAAAAGACTCCAGAGAATACTGACTGACATAAGGCAGTCACGAAGAACTGTAGGTTGTTAGCACAGTTCACCTTAATACAGTAATGAAAAAATTTGAGTGCAAAATAAACTTTAAATAAACTTTTACACAACAGTATTCGAATGGAGGACGAAGAGTGACACACAAAACGCTAAAAATGCGGTAAAAACGCGTCGCATATAATTTAACTAATGAGGTGCAGAGCAAAGGCAATCAGATCGATTACTAAGAAAGTAAGGCAAACAGCCCAGCATGTGCGGGAAGAAATAAATAACCGATGCGAAAATGCATACGACATTTGTGAATTTGTTGGCAATCAAACAAAATAAAGAGTTATGAAGTGATTAATTTTCGCCTTAGTAACATGTAGGCCAAACAGCAACTATATGCAGTGCGAATCTAAGTTTCGAGGAGAAATCAGTTACCCGATTTGTATGTATGCATCCGTATTTGTTAATCTAAAAATTTTGTGTATTCTGAAGAATATTACATGTGAATCAATTTATGAACTGTTTTTCTAAGCTTTTCTTGGGTTATGGCGGGGTGTTCTATTCCGTGCTTTGCAAATCTTTGTTGTGATGTTGCTTTTAGAGGATCGGTATGATTATGCAACAACAACTGTCTTCGTGCGGGTATGACTGTGCAAAGTAAACTTCTCTAGAGCTATCCGTAAAATGTTTCTGATCATACTTTGATTTTTTTTAAGTGTCGATCGTAGAAAGTCTCGCACTGATGATTTCAACATGAACCGACTGTAGGATGGATTTATATAACGAAGTCTGCTGTATTGGCCGGAGTAATTTGACAGAGGCTCAGTACTCGAACTTCAGTTCGATGTACCCAATTACTAGCGAAGAATTTTCATTTATTCTAATATATTCCTATTGCCAAGATCCCCGAGGATACTAGGAACTTCTTGAATACACTATGTCTGTTACAAAACTTGGATATTTTGCAGAATTTAATTTTTTGTTTGACCTCTATTTTTTAAAATAACACTCCCATAAGTCTGAAGACTATGATGTACTGTCTTGATCATTATTAAGATTCTATCAATTTTTAGCTTACTTGTATCCTAGCAAACAAATTTGCGCTTTGTTTTGCACCAAGTTTGTTTGCTAAAACCATGCTTGCGGATATTCCGATGGACTGTTGATGATTTTGCTCATTTGTTTTTTTATTTAAGGTAGCGGTAATCTGCAGATTCGTGGAAATCGTTGAGTGCGATTACAGAAATATCCAGCTTCTTCAGGAAGGTGCTTTTTCTAGAAGAGGTACAGACAGTGTACAAGATCGTATGTTCGTGAAGGGGAAGTTTTAAACCAACACTTCTGGCGCTGAGACGGACGTAATAATGAATTGTAGCGGCGTAGGGAGTACTGAAATCGTAAGCTTTACTGCGACACCCTGTGCTGGACGTGGCATCATGGCGTTGAACGCTACCCAAGGGAGCGTGTGGCTCATGGCCACGACTGGCGCAGGGCCGTCGCCGGCTTTGGCTACGTCGAATTTTATGGTCAGAGCGGTTCCCGTGCTTCAAGCCGGCATACCCGCCCGTTGTTTTCTTCAGTATACTCCAGCCACAGCTGCGTCGCACCTGTCCCGAGAGGAGGCGGTAGAAGCAATTGTTGCTGCGGCGAGGG